TTGCATCATCTAGAATTGAACACAAATCAGTATTTCAACAGTAAGTAGGTGTACCCACTAAGCTACGCTTTTGAGTCTCAGGCCGGTTTTGGCACCGGTACCGGGATCGGTTCCATAAATTAAAACAAAAATCAAATAAACGAAAATAAGGTATAAATCAGGTGCATAAAGACGAACGAGGTTGGGGGAGAGAGAGGAGACCGTCGGCACCCGTCATGTCCCGCCAATCGGGCCCACTACTGGGATCAGAAGCAAATTGAGGAGGAGGTCCGTTGGACCCTTAATCCCTCAGTTTCCTTCTTTATGCTCCTTCGGTCCTTCGTTGCCAGTCGTTGGTCTCGATCCATATATATGTTGTACGAAAGTCCAACATCGTAACTAATAGTGTTATGCCCAACGTCGGCATAGGCACTAGCGGAAAACCCATATAAATGAGTTTCGTCTGTAGCATAGTCGTACTGAAACGCACCAAGCCAATGTCTTGACCTACCCACGCCTAAACCTACGGCTACTGAACCCTGACACCCACGACGCGAGGGGCCAAGTTCAGCTCGCGGCTGCCACGTGCACCGCTCACTATGTCGAAGTCATGTCATCATACGACCAATCAAAATGTTTTTCCGCCCTGAGTTTTACACGACTCCAAGTCCCTCCAACTGAAATTTAAGACAAAAAAAAAGAATGTCGCGACACTGACGATCAAACCCGAACCCGACCACAATAAGCCACCTCCATGCGCGTGCTCGTGCCGCAGACAAACGTTTTAATCAAAGAAAAAAACATCGTTTTAGTCATAATTAAATCAAAATCAAAGTCAACCGACAATTTTGTCAGTTTTATAATATTAATCAAAAAAAAAATCACACGCACCTTAAACTTGCTCGCCCACATACTCCCTACTCCCTTCAAACAGTCTCACACTTTTAGTCACATAAAGAAACTTGACCGTGGCTCACGTGACACTGAACTTTCAATTCAAAATTTTTTTCTATCACTTGCAAAAATAAGAACGGATACCCTTGTAAGGGTATTAACGCCGACAAGGTGCCAGGAACGTAAGGTCGTATACGTAATGATTAAGAATGTTTTTCCGGATATTAAATTTTAAAAAGGACCATCTCGTTATTGTGGATAAGTAAGAAGGTTGCTTAAGCATAGTATGAGATAACTTTTCTTTATCTGCAGATTTGTATCATGTAAAAACTATTTTTTTTTTTGCATTACACTTTTGCATATGAATGTTTACAAAATAAGCACGAAGATAAACATTTGTGTTTATAACTTATGAAGTTCTGATTTTTTAATAAACAAATGATGAATTTATGTATATAAATTGATTAATATTAAAATTACCCAGTTTTTTAAAAATGTTCACTTTCCATGAATTATGTGTTTTTCATTATTCGACGAAGTTTTCAAAATTTTATAAAACAATGGTAATTGAAGTTGATCATTTGAATTTGTAAAAATGTTATAAATAGAGAAATCATAAGAAACATAATAAAATAAAAAACTAAAAAAAAAAAGTTTAAATAAAAATATAAAATGACAATAAAAATATATATATTTTTTTTTAATACCAATATAACAAAAAAATCATGTTTTTATGTTATTGCGACATCAAAATAATTTTTTTAATTCTCTACAGAGACTTGATTCAAATATTATACTTCATGTGTTTTTTCCTTTGGGAGTTTCATATTCGGTTCTCCTATGATTTATGAATTTATATTAGTTATCAATTTTGAAGAATAAGTTAAAATTTTGAGTAGTTATGAAATAACTTTTTCGAGTCTACTCTACCTTGGTAAAAACTATGATCACTTTTCCCTTTATATACGCCCGATTCATCGAACCTCTTCTTCGTGCGCCTGTTCAAACCCCCTCCACCCAACAGTTTACCACCTGGACTTAATAAAAGAATATATTAACTCCTTAAATTCATTAACAAACGTTCATAAACTATAATCATCTTAGGTAATATCGCCAAATAATATTTCCCCTCCACTTTTTGGATACTTCAATTTCATCATAACCCACACCCCTATCGATCCGTCTTCACGTAACCTTGTCAAACAACAAAAATTTGCACATTTATCTCTTTATATTGCAATCTTTACCCCTCTCCGCATCTCTGTCAACTTTCTCATATATAAATGAATGCCCCCATGTTTCGGTATCTCTCCTCTTTGCATATCCCTTTTAGTGTTTTCACCTTGTTTCACATATATGTTACAACATAAAAATTTCCTCGATATAAATAAGCATTCTATAGTAAAATTACATTCTAAATTTTAATTTTTTATTCCATCGTTATGTCATTCCATTTTTATTTTTTTGGTCTTACTTGAAGATTTTCATTCCAATAATGGGGTATCCCTTCTTATTTGACATGCATATTAAAGATGAAATGAAATTCTGAATGAGTTCATATAAATATTTGAATTGAACTATCATTCTATATAAGGATTTTCAGTCATAAATATGTTAATCCGATCTAAATTAGAAAATATTTATTATAGTAAAATGAAAGTTTAATTAAGTCACTTCATAAATTCGGCTAGACTTTCATTTCATCTTCAACAATAAATGTAGTTGGACGAGAAAACTCATTTGTAAACGATAACTTAACAAATAAAAATAAAAATTTTAAAATTTGATAAATATTGAAATAATAATTTAAATATGAAGATTTTTTTTTTATTGGAATTTTTTTTTTCAACTTTTATTTCTTGTGTGAATTTTTTTGTTGTATAACCATGTTGAACTTCTTCTCTCATTGAGGTTGTGCAGATTATTCCACCACCCGTTGTTCACATGCATACTTCTTGTACGATTTTTAGAATGATTTCACTCTTCGACTATCGCAAGGATCGTTCATCCCTTCCCTCCCCAACATTAAAAGTTTTTACTCAAGCAATTTAAAACCACATTTATAATAAAAGAACATACTATGGGTTCACATTCTGCATCATAATACGACAACGCCCTTCCATCTTAACAAACCGTTAGTTGTTAACGAAAGAGAGGATATACAAATCATTACATGTCATGGAACTTCGACCAAGCCACTTGTTCAACGCAAGGAGTATCTTCTTCATGATGCCTCTCCGTCTGCACTGACAACAAACTTTTCAATTAGGTTGCTGCTCCATTCCAGTCCAGCTTCGTATTCACCTTCAATCTTGGGAGTTGCTCGTTTCTTCCTCCAACTGCCATCACTCATGCCCTCATTCCACCATTCCCTGCAAGATGTCATAGTCACTTGCGGGACGATGGAGGGAGATGGGATGATGTAGGAGGTGTGCGGGCCTGCGATCCATCTCTCTAACTCCTACGAGTTTATGGCGTCATTGACGGTATCTACTTTCTTTATGCTATCTCTATTTGTCTTGTGCAACCGTTATCTATGGAATGTTGAAAAGTTTCGTGCCAATCAAAATGAAAAATTAAACCACTAGTACCTCTACCAATGTTGGGAAATTAGAGAAAGCTGGCAGTTTTCATAAAGTCCCAGAAGAGTTTGAAGAAGATGTGATTACATCATTACTCAAAGGTACACATCTACGAAAAACACAACTAGTTTCGTTTTCTGTTATTTTTTTTTATTTCACGGATCGTGATTTCGTTTTAATGCCATGCAAACGAGGCAAGGCGCATTCCACGGACAACTGATGCTTTGCAATGGAGAGCGCAGTCCCATATGTACTCCAGATTTTGTATCCAGCTACTTTCACGTTTATTGTTGTTTTTTTTTTTTTTTTTTTCCACCGGCTGCCGTGATTTCAACAGGGTTGTAACGCCCGTTCGGAGGGCATGTACTCACATGTACGCCAAATTCTATTTCTAGTTGCTTTCACGTCCAAAAAAATATTGTTTTTTTCTTTATTCCTTATTTTTGTATCCTGCTGCCGTGATTTCAGCAGAGGTTGTAACGCCCGTTGGGAGAACATACTCTCACATGTACCCTAGATTCTGCATCGGGCTGTACATTTTAGCATTTTTGCATTTTTTTCCTCGTTGTTTTTTGTTTTTTTGGGACAATTTCCAGGCTACCATCCGGGTCACCTCCCGGGGCCCGAATGGCCAGTCCGGGCAAGGACCAGGGATGGTTCCAACAAAAGAAAAAAAGCAACAAAATCCAAAAAATCCGAAAAAAAAACTATGTTATGCAGAAAAATAAACTGAACAACTTTTGCCTGAGGGTCACATCGAAATTCTTCACCAAATTTAGAATAAAAAATAAAATTTAAAAATATTTTTTTATTTTAAAAATTTTAATTTTTTTTGGCCCGGCCGGGCAAGTGACCTCGGGCTACTCTGGTAGCCTAGGATAATTTGCAATATACCCCCATAAGTTGAGATATATGCCAAAATGCCCCTAAAAGATTAAGGTAGAGTTGAATGCCCCTCTGACAATTTTTTTTTTTGTTGAAATACCCCTGGTGTCGGTTGGACCCCCATCTTTGCAATAGACCCATATCAGGTACCATCCAACTTTGCGAAATGCCCCAGTACTTGACAACTTTTCCTAGGCACTTTTGCAAAAGGCCAAGGCCCAAACGGGGAGGTTCAGATTGGGAAGTTGCACACACGCCTGACAGGGGCATAACACAAAGATTTCGGCATTCTGCTCTACCCACATCTTTCAGGGGCATTTTGGCATATATCTCCACTTATGGGGGTATTTTGTAAATTATCCCCTTTTTTTTCCCACTTCCGAAGAGAACAAGAAAAGAAAACACCGTGGGACCCAGCCTCGGCAACTTTCCGTGAGCAGTGAAATTCAGGGTCGGCAAAAACAGGTTCTGGAGGTACTTATGATTTTAACCCCATATAAGTAATGGCAGGAAATTTGGCAAAAGCGTAGAAAAAAAGTGAAGGAAGTGAAAAAGAAACGGCAAACTTTGCAAATACCCCTGAATGTTGGCAAAAGTGATATAATAGCCCTTTTGGATTTAAACCTTTGCGTGATTCCGCTGTGAGGGGGCTAGGCGAGC